TCGATATATCGAATACTCATTTAACGGAACGATTGCAGCAACAGGATGCGATTGATCGTGCAAACGAATACAAGTAAGATTTTATGACAGCTATACATTTCTTATTTCTTAATTATTATTATTATGATGATGATAAGCTAAAAATAAAATTGTGAATTTTTTTTCAAAAAAAAGAGATTTGATTAACAGCATCAAACTCGATGAAAAAGCCTTGAAAAAAATGCAAGAAAAGAGTAACACCTTGCCAAAGTTACAGCAAAAAACTATTTCATCATCTACGAATATTGCACCACAACCTAAGTTAACATCACCGACAGAAAATGATAATCTTCAATCCACGTCTCCGAGTGCAGTTTTGTCGGAAAATTCTTTGACAAAAAATGATGTGGAGTGGGTGAGTTGATATATATTTTTTTTGAGTGATTGATTTTTAATTTGATTAGTTATCTTTATTGATCAATCAAAATGACGACAAATATAGTTATTGGCAGCTATGAACGAAATACACGATGCAGTAGATCATATTGAAGTTCAATACGTGGGTGATTTGGTGGTTCCTTTGGCGTGGACCGCATCATCGCCTGTCCATCCTGTTCACGGATAATTCATGAGAAGGCGAAAGTTGTTATGAATATATATATATATATATATATGTGTGTGTGTGGGCTTTGATCTCTCGTATAGTTGCTCTCGGATGTTTGTGTCATCAATGATAAGCAATTCTTACTATACATTGCTGATGGTATAATAAATGATACAACAAAAAGTATTACTATTTATTATTATTATTTATTGAATAAATTTATAACGAGAATATTATTTTATTGTGGTAAATATAATTAACTTCCCACCCAAACACAGTATGATATCATTAATATACAAATATGCGATTAAATTATTATATAAATTTTCAGTCAGAATAAAAACCCTCACCCAAAAAAATTTCGTATCCGTTTATTAAAACTAATTTTACGACTATTCACTTCATCTTGAATCGCGACAGTACTGGCCAAAATATATTCTTGCCAATATCTTCCATCATCTTCCGCCAAAATATTAAAACTATTAACTGGAAAGCTCTGCTTTGACTTTACGTTTGATATAGTGGAGGTGAACGAGTACATTGATGATTGCTTTGACTCACGACCATCCAATGATTCAAAACCCGAGGCTCGGCCACCGGATAATCCAGAGAATCGTGATAATCGATCCGCAATATTGGGATTCCAGCCAATTGGTGCTCGCTCGAGAAAAACGATGTCGAATTCGTTTTCAATATTCGTAGGACGAAATTCTGCGAGTGGTGTTTCTGGATCGTTGCATGCAACGAAAATCCATTTATGATTGTTCTCTTTACATTTCTTTTGGGTGTCCAGCGATTTTATCCATTTGTATCGTTGTACACATGTGTTATCAAATGGCGTATTAACATCACCATAATATTCTAACGTTGATGATGATGATTCATTGTCTGTTTGTTTCTTGAATGTAGAAGCGGATCCAGTGGGAACATATTTGATGGTAAATCGTTTTGGTCTCCGTGGTTTTCCCAGTATTTTAGAATATTTTAGGTTTGCAGGTTCAATGCTCCAAATTGTTTTAGAGGTCGTGGGTGTTAGAGGTG